TCGTCTAAAAATGTTTTTGGCCTGGATTTGACATATCCGGCCATGTGAAATCCTCTATGAGTCCTGCCAATAATCATGTCAAATTTTTTTTGTAGTGGTTTAGGATCGGTGGAAGAGCGAAAATTTGGTCCCGCCGTAGACCGGAATCAGCACCCCCAGTTAGCGTTATTCGGTCTCAACAACTAGCTAGTTTGACCTTTAATTTTTTCTATTTTCCTGTTCGTTGGGCCTCCCCAACGAATATTTGGAGCTAATCCATCCCCAAAAGATGTTTCGAGCGTTTGGTTGTGGGGGTGGGGTGTGATAGGGGTGGGATGCCATGTGAAAAAAACTATAAATACCAATCATTCTTCTCAATTTTGATATTCTTTATTCCACACTACTCTTCTTATCTTCGTCTATATTATTTTTATCTCCAATTCTCTCATCTTTTTTTTTGAAAGAATGATATTTATTAATGATAATGGAAGTGATAACAGACAAAGCAAACCAATAGCTCAGAGTTATCCTGGGGTGAGACATAGAACTGACTAGCCCCTGAGAACCCGTCAAGATCGCTAACCCTGCATCATGGTAGGCTAATCTAACAGCATCGATGTACTTGGTACTAAAATAAATGGATATAAAACTAGAGTTATTAAATAAAAAAAAATAGAATCAAATCTTCTGGTATTTCCAACCACCAGCAAGGGAGAAGGGGTTTGATCAGCCACCTCCAAAGAAGTCATTCGAATTTTACGTTATTTGTATTGCATATAAAAGTTCAAAGTGATGCATATTATTGAGTTTTTAGGTTAGTAAATAAATTAAGCATGATTTGTACGTGATCTCACCTATATATATATATATATATATATATATATATATATATATATATATATATATATATATATATATATATATATAGGGGAGGGTTCTAGTGAGAACCCCTTTTAAAATGAGAACCCAAAGTTGAGGTGGTTCCCGGTGGTATTTTTGGCTAATTTTTTTTGTGTATGTTCCTCATCAAGTCTAGTTCATCCATACAAAAAATCAGGAAAAAATCAACCGGGAAGGTCTGGTAAATGTTTTTGAAATCAGTCCAATTTTTGTTTGAAAGTTGACCCTTAAACCTCAGTTTTTCACGTATGACACTCATCTATCCGTTAACATTAATTTATCATAAAAATAATATTTCAGCGCATAAATTTTTAAAGTTATCCAAGATCAAGCTATTTGAAATAATAATTTATCGTAATTTATATTTTGAATAGGTGACATATGTGCCGGATGAGAGAGATAATAATGAGTGTACCGGAGAGTGGCACTCAGGTGGTGACTTATTTGTTGGTGGTGCACTTTTTACGCCATGTGGAACCCATGTCTCCGACCCGACTTTTGCCAAAGCTTCTAGTACGATTCTCAAGTCGGTTAAGGTCATTGACTCTCTGACGGAAAATGCGGGTGCTATGTTTTGACTAACCTAGCTTTATACGTACGTACTACTATACTATACTATACGGAGTATATAGTACGTATATACCTTCTCCGCTCCGCTTTGATTTCCACGTGTTTTTAATATTAATTAACAAAGGAAAAAAGTAGGCACACATGTGACATGTGGCCTCTTATATTATCATGGTACGCCCGCACTTATTGTTTGTCTAAGCATTATCATTATCATACTCCATATTTAAATATGTATCATGATATACATATGTATGTGCACTCTCCAATGTAATTCTCAATTTTATATGTATGAGTTTATTATAAGAGACAGAGCCAATCTCATATATTTTTCAGTATCATCATAATTAACTTTTGTTCAATTTAAACACTTTTATGTTACATATTTTTACCTCGATTTTTAGATCATATTTTTCAGTAAAGCGTATTGGGGTCTCATGATAGCACGTACACTCGATTACTAACAATGTTTTTACGAAGTTTTCTGGTCTGCCTGGTCTGGTCTGGTAAATGTGTGGTTTAGGTGTATTTTATAACTATCCAAGTCCGGTCTGATCTGTTTGATTTGGTCTGAGACTGAAAACTGTCCAAGTAAAAACATCCTAGGTCATGGATCCAAGCATTGATTTGGATCGGAGTTTACGAAAGTGAGAATAAAGTAGAAATGTACGGTTGTGGTTCAGTAAGAAAAAGATAAATGAATGTGAGTCACACAAAACTTTCCTAAAAGGGAAATGAGAACTATTTTGTGGAAACATACCACTAACTTAACCTACATACTAACACACAACAGTATGATACCTAGCACGTTTGGGGCTTGTTGTTTCCTCCGGTGGTGAGCGATTGGGTATAGCGATGAGTGTGGTGAGATGAGATGGAATTGTGTAGAGGTTTAGGTTCAAGTGCTTCTTGATCTTGTTCATGATAAACATTCGACCATTATTTTCCTAATGGAGACCAAATCAGGGATGGGACGGGCAGAAGGTGTCATGGCAGAATTAGGTTTTCAAATAAGACTTTGTTTTGGAAAGACAACATCGAGCCTACGCTAGCTATTGGAAGTTTCGACCTTTTTTATTGTGTAATTGGAAATGACATGAGTGCCAATGAGGATTAGAACCGTGTTCTAATACAAGCTAGGAGGTGTGGAGTGCACACTTGTATATAAGAACGTGTTCTATTTCAAAGTGTCTACGTCAGTGGAACTCGAGGTAGAACACTCAGTAGACCAACTCTGTAGTTCTAGACCGATGTCTAGAGCGGTTGGGCAGTTTCGTGCAATTTTCCAAAAATTGTCACAGTTATTCCAGGACGTGTAATATGGTTATATATCACCATATTTCGTACAGAGAAGGATGAAAAAAGATATCCAACATTTCTTCATCATTTTTGGCATTCAACTTAAGATATCAATCCATATACTCACTAGTTTGGCTCAAGTTCTTGTGCCTAAGTTCTAGAGTGTCCTTAAGGATTATCCTATATTGAATTTCTTGTAACCCAGGCATAGGGGAGAAATATCAATTCGGAAAGTGAAGTTACACGATCCTTAAACAATCCAAGTACTGGATTATCACCCCCTACGTGATATACCCCTACAATCGAATTGGTATTTTCTTTGTGATAATCATGAGTACCGTGGAAGAGATGACATCCAAGTTCAACAAATTGGACAAATTGAACGTATATTCTGGAAATGCTTAAGAGATTCAACATTGATGGCAAATCTTCCATGACGACCCCTATGTCCCCCAACAATAAACTGGACTCAGACCCCTCCGGGAAGCCAGTCGATGCCACAAACTATAGGGCCATCATTGGATCTTTGCTATATCTCACGTCTAGCAGGCCTGATATCGTCTTCTCCACATGCTTATGTGCACGCTTTCAGGCGAATCCAAAGGAATCCCATCTGACCGTTGTTCGAAGAATTCTGAGATACCTCAAAGGCACTGTGAATCTAGGCCTTTGGTATCCCAAGCACTCAGGTTTTGACCTAGTCGGATACTCTGACGCTGATTTTGCTGGTTGCCGGATGGATCGCAAAAGTACATCGGGAGCTGTCCAGTTCTTGGGCGATAAGTTAGTCTGCTGGTCTTCCAAGAAACAGAACTGTGTGTCAACATCTACGGCCGAGGCAGAATACGTCGCGGCTGCTAGCTGTTGTTCACAAATATTATGGATGAAGACCCAGCTAAAGGACTACGGTTACACTTCCGCCATATCCCGATCTACAGCGACTCACAGAGCGCCATCACCATCACCAGCAACCCGGTTCATCACTCCCGCACCAAACACATCGACATGCGTTATCATTTCATCAAAGACCACGTGGAGAAAAGAGATATTGACATGTACTTTGTAAGCTCCGAGCTTCAACTGGCTGATTTGTTTACTAAGGCACTGGATGAAAAGAGATTCCAGTTTTTGGTTTCCAAATTAGGCATGTTGAACCTCGAGCCTATGTAATTTTGTTTCCACTGGTCTGTAAAAAGGTGTGCGTGTGTAGGACTTGTACAAAGTGTGCGTGCGTGTGTCTGTAAATAGTGTGTGTGAGTTGCATTTTGTGTATTGTGTGTGTTGCATGTGTAAATAATAATATTTTGACTTTCACGTTTGCCAACGCGCAACTTTGACTGTAATTATATTTATTTACGTATTAGTAAACATTAAAAAAAGTTAATATATTGGAAATTTACATTAATACAAATTTATTAATATTTTATACATAATATTTTTATTATATATATTATTAGAAAATCGTAGTCAAAGTAAGGTGTGTGAATAGTGCAGAAATTACAATGTTGCAACTTTTATGGAACGGAGGAAGTATATATTTATTGGAAATTATTTATAATATAAAAATTATATGAAAATGTTCTTTGTTAAAAGTACTTTCATAAAAGTATAAAATTTATAACTTTCATAATATTATACTAATCAAAACCATGGTCCAAATTTTGAGATTTGGCTAAACATTTTGGGACAGAGGTAGTATTAGGAAATAGGAATAAATGATTTTATATCCATGTTGTTTGAATAATTTTATTTATTATTGTTAGAGATCACTATTGATTTAATTATATCTATATCGTTCAAATTATTTTAGGAGAATGTGTTGTTTTTTAATACGTTGCATGTTGAACTGCTTAAATATACTAATAATAATAATTATTCAATATTGAGTATGACATCAATAGATTATTAATTATATTTGTAAACTTTTAATAATGAAATAAATATGTCACTAGTAACACCAATTTAACATATTTCGTTAGTCTATGATAATTTGTTGTATTGAGAGACATGCATGGTAATTTACCGATACCGTACCGTTACCGAACCGAAACTTCAGTATACCGAAATGCGGTATACCGAAACTTCGGTAAGGTAACGGTATATAAATTTTGCATACCGAAAATTTTGATACGGTAAAAGTATGAGAGAAAATATTGGGTATACGGTATCGAACCACCCTAGAAATAAGTCATGTTCGTTTGTCAATAAACAATTTATTTAATTTGTACCTGGTATGGGAACATGCATGTATGTAGGTCATGATGTTGGGTGCCCATGACCTCGACAATATGGACAGGAGTATGCAAGTGACAATTGCCTTCAACCATTTCGGTGAGGGTCTCCAACAGAGAATGCCCAGGTATATATAGATATATTTTTCAATTTTCAATAAAATAGGAAAACTAAAAAAATGAAAACACAAATGGGTTTTACCAAAACAATTTCTAGGAAAACTGGACAAATAAAGATAGATAGAAAAATGCGTCTACCAAATTAATTTCAAAACCAAAAAATGAAATATAGATAGTCTCTATTTTCCGTAATGAATTGGAGAAATTAGTTTTACTAGTTTTCCAAATTTGAAATACACGGATGTTGCAGTGTTGATGCAATGAATTTGCATACTTACGCCTAGTGGTGAATCCAATCAGCTGGCCCTGATGTCAGTTTCAGTGCAGGCCAGTCAAGGACCCAACAATCCCTATCTGGTCAGGTCAACCACCTGACGGTCCAGTCCGGTCAATGACTCGACGATTTCTTTCCGGTCCGGTAAACAACCAGACGGTCCTCGTCTTGTTTAGTCAATGACTCGGCTGTCTTAGTCTGGTCCAGTCGACAATTGGGTCGTCCGGTCCGATTCTGTCTGGTCTGTTCGATGATCCGATGGTTCGGTCCCTCTTTTTAAAATCATTTTTTTAAACTGAAGAGTTTCAAAAGTGTCGTTGAATTGCTAACCAATAGGGAAAAGGGAAAAAAATTAGTCAAACTAAGCGTTAGGACAGATCGTGACTGGCCGGTTCCAGTTCCGATTTTCATATACCCGGCCGGGACTAGGTACCTTACTTGGGTTGTACTAGGTTCTGTGATCAATAACAGAACGAGGTGAAAAAATTTAATGAACATGTTTTCAGATTTGAATATGAAAAACTAGAAAACGAAAATAGAAAATTGAAATAAAAATTGGAAAATGAGAGTAATTGGTTGAGATAGAAAAGAAAGAAAACTAGAAAGTATATGTGTGAGTAAATACACCCTTAATTTGTCATCCGCATTTTATACACTAAACAGAGTAATTGGTTGAGAGAATTCTTTAAGAATATACATATTCGAATATTCATAGTTGGTTGTTTCTATTTTTTTCTGATTTTTTTTTACTAAAATTGTCTCATATTAAATTTGATAAAAATTTGTGTGGTTCTAAATCATCATTACTTTATTCTTACTTTTCAAATTAACATCAATCATATAATTGTGTCATGTCCTTTTGTCCTGGGACGAAGATAATATTAATTTGTTATCATTAACATTATTATATTGGTTGAAAAAAACATTATTATATGGTGACAACTTCGGTACCCATTTAAAAAATGGGGTACCATACCTATCACTCACTTGATTGGTTTAAATCATTACATCATTTGTAATTTAGATTTAAATAATTCAATTACATCATTTTGATTGGTCCATGTGAACATAGATATGATACCTTAAGGGTACCATAGAATCTACCTTATTATATATATATATATAGTATATATGATCATCATGGCATCTCAAATCTCAATTAATTAAACAAATTTGTGAAACACACGCACAAACCCCGTCGTGTCCGTCCACCCGGTCCATTTGCAGATGCAGGAACGGTCACTTCCACGTGATAAACAACGACTACACTAAGTGGCTCATGTTTGCCATTGGCGGAACTGCTAGCCCAACCATCACCAGCCATGGAAACAGGTTTACTCCTCTGGACGAAAAACATAGAGAGGTACTTTATTTTTACATCTTTCCATTCACATATAAATACCTCAATGTTACTAAAACTCACGACTTTTCCTAAAATATAACTATACATGTTTTTGTATGTAATATATGACCAAACACATACATGGGGTGGTTACCATACTTAACTAAGTCCTTATTGATAGTGTTGTTACCACTCATGAGCATGACATTAATTAGGATGTTAGATTAGGAATAAAACTAGTGTAGTCATATATTGGGAAAGATATATTGTTTTAGTAATATTAGTGATAATTATCTCTTTACATATTCATACTTTTTCGTCCCAAAATGAGTTTAAAAAATTGATTTGTGGATACTAAAAATTATTTAATGTTTTGGACTTATTATTAGTTCATAATATTATCAAGCCTCTTTTATGCGAATTTTAAATTCGATCGAGCCTCCTCTCATGAGGGTTGTTGTACCGTATCAAAAGGAAAATTGTGATAAAGAATCCGGCCTTATGATGATAAAATTTAGTGGTCAAGTTAATTTGAATCATTGAAAGTATTCAATTAATATAATTGTAAATGGAGACCATAGGTTGGCCTTATAAAATTCTCTATCTCAAGCCTAGAGTCACGCCTAATACTAAACAGCGACCCAACATATGAGACATGATTAAACTTATGAAGAGGACACTGAATCTATTCAAACATATACATTAAAGATCTAAAAATGCAAGAAGGTCTTTAATCCTTTATGCATATATCATCTTTCTATACACACATAGGGGTCTCATTTGGGTGTGAATGGGAAACTCAAGATATCATGTTTCCCATTATGTGGATACTCACAACCATGCAGTTACAAGTAGAGATCACCTTGTCACAGTTCGTCTGCTCCCTAAAAGAAAATGCATTGTTCTGGTCTTGGAGCCAATTTTCATTTACATTTGGCAAGATATGAACTATGAAGTGTGAGTTCCTAAAATGATTCATTTCCATAGGGAAGATAGTGAGCCTGAGATAGCATACATATAATGTTGGAGAGATCTCACCCTAAGTTGAAAACATCGAATCTCTATAAGCTCTGCCATAAATATGCATGCGTATTGAGAGAGTGCATTTGGGAATTAATGTTGGAGAGAACTCATGCCAAATATCTCGTCTAAAAATGTTTTTGGCCTGGATTTGACATATCCGGCCATGTGAAATCCTCTATGAGTCCTGCCAATAATCATGTCAAATTTTTTTTGTAGTGGTTTAGGATCGGTGGAAGAGCGAAAATTTGGTCCCGCCGTAGACCGGAATCAGCACCCCCAGTTAGCGTTATTCGGTCTCAACAACTAGCTAGTTTGACCTTTAATTTTTTCTATTTTCCTGTTCGTTGGGCCTCCCCAACGAATATTTGGAGCTAATCCATCCCCAAAAGATGTTTCGAGCGTTTGGTTGTGGGGGTGGGGTGTGATAGGGGTGGGATGCCATGTGAAAAAAACTATAAATACCAATCATTCTTCTCAATTTTGATATTCTTTATTCCACACTACTCTTCTTATCTTCGTCTATATTATTTTTATCTCCAATTCTCTCATCTTTTTTTTTGAAAGAATGATATTTATTAATGATAATGGAAGTGATAACAGACAAAGCAAACCAATAGCTCAGAGTTATCCTGGGGTGAGACATAGAACTGACTAGCCCCTGAGAACCCGTCAAGATCGCTAACCCTGCATCATGGTAGGCTAATCTAACAGCATCGATGTACTTGGTACTAAAATAAATGGATATAAAACTAGAGTTATTAAATAAAAAAAAATAGAATCAAATCTTCTGGTATTTCCAACCACCAGCAAGGGAGAAGGGGTTTGATCAGCCACCTCCAAAGAAGTCATTCGAATTTTACGTTATTTGTATTGCATATAAAAGTTCAAAGTGATGCATATTATTGAGTTTTTAGGTTAGTAAATAAATTAAGCATGATTTGTACGTGATCTCACCTATATATATATATATATATATATATATATATATATATATATATATATATATATATATATATATATATATATATATATATATATATATATATATATATATATATATATATATATATATAGGGGAGGGTTCTAGTGAGAACCCCTTTTAAAATGAGAACCCAAAGTTGAGGTGGTTCCCGGTGGTATTTTTGGCTAATTTTTTTTGTGTATGTTCCTCATCAAGTCTAGTTCATCCATACAAAAAATCAGGAAAAAATCAACCGGGAAGGTCTGGTAAATGTTTTTGAAATCAGTCCAATTTTTGTTTGAAAGTTGACCCTTAAACCTCAGTTTTTCACGTATGACACTCATCTATCCGTTAACATTAATTTATCATAAAAATAATATTTCAGCGCATAAATTTTTAAAGTTATCCAAGATCAAGCTATTTGAAATAATAATTTATCGTAATTTATATTTTGAATAGGTGACATATGTGCCGGATGAGAGAGATAATAATGAGTGTACCGGAGAGTGGCACTCAGGTGGTGACTTATTTGTTGGTGGTGCACTTTTTACGCCATGTGGAACCCATGTCTCCGACCCGACTTTTGCCAAAGCTTCTAGTACGATTCTCAAGTCGGTTAAGGTCATTGACTCTCTGACGGAAAATGCGGGTGCTATGTTTTGACTAACCTAGCTTTATACGTACGTACTACTATACTATACTATACGGAGTATATAGTACGTATATACCTTCTCCGCTCCGCTTTGATTTCCACGTGTTTTTAATATTAATTAACAAAGGAAAAAAGTAGGCACACATGTGACATGTGGCCTCTTATATTATCATGGTACGCCCGCACTTATTGTTTGTCTAAGCATTATCATTATCATACTCCATATTTAAATATGTATCATGATATACATATGTATGTGCACTCTCCAATGTAATTCTCAATTTTATATGTATGAGTTTATTATAAGCGACAGAGCCAATCTCATATATTTTTCAGTATCATCATAATTAACTTTTGTTCAATTTAAACACTTTTATGTTACATATTTTTACCTCGATTTTTAGATCATATTTTTCAGTAAAGCGTATTGGGGTCTCATGATAGCACGTACACTCGATTACTAACAATGTTTTTACGAAGTTTTCTGGTCTGCCTGGTCTGGTCTGGTAAATGTGTGGTTTAGGTGTATTTTATAACTATCCAAGTCCGGTCTGATCTGTTTGATTTGGTCTGAGACTGAAAACTGTCCAAGTAAAAACATCCTAGGTCATGGATCCAAGCATTGATTTGGATCGGAGTTTACGAAAGTGAGAATAAAGTAGAAATGTACGGTTGTGGTTCAGTAAGAAAAAGATAAATGAATGTGAGTCACACAAAACTTTCCTAAAAGGGAAATGAGAACTATTTTGTGGAAACATACCACTAACTTAACCTACATACTAACACACAACAGTATGATACCTAGCACGTTTGGGGCTTGTTGTTTCCTCCGGTGGTGAGCGATTGGGTATAGCGATGAGTGTGGTGAGATGAGATGGAATTGTGTAGAGGTTTAGGTTCAAGTGCTTCTTGATCTTGTTCATGATAAACATTCGACCATTATTTTCCTAATGGAGACCAAATCAGGGATGGGACGGGCAGAAGGTGTCATGGCAGAATTAGGTTTTCAAATAAGACTTTGTTTTGGAAAGACAACATCGAGCCTACGCTAGCTATTGGAAGTTTCGACCTTTTTTATTGTGTAATTGGAAATGACATGAGTGCCAATGAGGATTAGAACCGTGTTCTAATACAAGCTAGGAGGTGTGGAGTGCACACTTGTATATAAGAACGTGTTCTATTTCAAAGTGTCTACGTCAGTGGAACTCGAGGTAGAACACTCAGTAGACCAACTCTGTAGTTCTAGACCGATGTCTAGAGCGGTTGGGCAGTTTCGTGCAATTTTCCAAAAATTGTCACAGTTATTCCAGGACGTGTAATATGGTTATATATCACCATATTTCGTACAGAGAAGGATGAAAAAAGATATCCAACATTTCTTCATCATTTTTGGCATTCAACTTAAGATATCAATCCATATACTCACTAGTTTGGCTCAAGTTCTTGTGCCTAAGTTCTAGAGTGTCCTTAAGGATTATCCTATATTGAATTTCTTGTAACCCAGGCATAGGGGAGAAATATCAATTCGGAAAGTGAAGTTACACGATCCTTAAACAATCCAAGTACTGGATTATCACCCCCTACGTGATATACCCCTACAATCGAATTGGTATTTTCTTTGTGATAATCATGAGTACCGTGGAAGAGATGACATCCAAGTTCAACAAATTGGACAAATTGAACGTATATTCTGGAAATGCTTAAGAGATTCAACATTGATGGCAAATCTTCCATGACGACCCCTATGTCCCCCAACAATAAACTGGACTCAGACCCCTCCGGGAAGCCAGTCGATGCCACAAACTATAGGGCCATCATTGGATCTTTGCTATATCTCACGTCTAGCAGGCCTGATATCGTCTTCTCCACATGCTTATGTGCACGCTTTCAGGCGAATCCAAAGGAATCCCATCTGACCGTTGTTCGAAGAATTCTGAGATACCTCAAAGGCACTGTGAATCTAGGCCTTTGGTATCCCAAGCACTCAGGTTTTGACCTAGTCGGATACTCTGACGCTGATTTTGCTGGTTGCCGGATGGATCGCAAAAGTACATCGGGAGCTGTCCAGTTCTTGGGCGATAAGTTAGTCTGCTGGTCTTCCAAGAAACAGAACTGTGTGTCAACATCTACGGCCGAGGCAGAATACGTCGCGGCTGCTAGCTGTTGTTCACAAATATTATGGATGAAGACCCAGCTAAAGGACTACGGTTACACTTCCGCCATATCCCGATCTACAGCGACTCACAGAGCGCCATCACCATCACCAGCAACCCGGTTCATCACTCCCGCACCAAACACATCGACATGCGTTATCATTTCATCAAAGACCACGTGGAGAAAAGAGATATTGACATGTACTTTGTAAGCTCCGAGCTTCAACTGGCTGATTTGTTTACTAAGGCACTGGATGAAAAGAGATTCCAGTTTTTGGTTTCCAAATTAGGCATGTTGAACCTCGAGCCTATGTAATTTTGTTTCCACTGGTCTGTAAAAAGGTGTGCGTGTGTAGGACTTGTACAAAGTGTGCGTGCGTGTGTCTGTAAATAGTGTGTGTGAGTTGCATTTTGTGTATTGTGTGTGTTGCATGTGTAAATAATAATATTTTGACTTTCACGTTTGCCAACGCGCAACTTTGACTGTAATTATATTTATTTACGTATTAGTAAACATTAAAAAAAGTTAATATATTGGAAATTTACATTAATACAAATTTATTAATATTTTATACATAATATTTTTATTATATATATTATTAGAAAATCGTAGTCAAAGTAAGGTGTGTGAATAGTGCAGAAATTACAATGTTGCAACTTTTATGGAACGGAGGAAGTATATATTTATTGGAAATTATTTATAATATAAAAATTATATGAAAATGTTCTTTGTTAAAAGTACTTTCATAAAAGTATAAAATTTATAACTTTCATAATATTATACTAATCAAAACCATGGTCCAAATTTTGAGATTTGGCTAAACATTTTGGGACAGAGGTAGTATTAGGAAATAGGAATAAATGATTTTATATCCATGTTGTTTGAATAATTTTATTTATTATTGTTAGAGATCACTATTGATTTAATTATATCTATATCGTTCAAATTATTTTAGGAGAATGTGTTGTTTTTTAATACGTTGCATGTTGAACTGCTTAAATATACTAATAATAATAATTGTTCAATATTGAGTATGACATCAATAGATTATTAATTATATTTGTAAACTTTTAATAATGAAATAAATATGTCACTAGTAACACCAATTTAACATATTTCGTTAGTCTATGATAATTTGTTGTATTGAGAGACATGCATGGTAATTTACCGATACCGTACCGTTACCGAACCGAAACTTCAGTATACCGAAATGCGGTATACCGAAACTTCGGTAAGGTAACGGTATATAAATTTTGCATACCGAAAATTTTGATACGGTAAAAGTATGAGAGAAAATATTGGGTATACGGTATCGAACCACCCTAGAAATAAGTCATGTTCGTTTGTCAATAAACAATTTATTTAATTTGTACCTGGTATGGGAACATGCATGTATGTAGGTCATGATGTTGGGTGCCCATGACCTCGACAATATGGACAGGAGTATGCAAGTGACAATTGCCTTCAACCATTTCGGTGAGGGTCTCCAACAGAGAATGCCCAGGTATATATAGATATATTTTTCAATTTTCAATAAAATAGGAAAACTAAAAAAATGAAAACACAAATGGGTTTTACCAAAACAATTTCTAGGAAAACTGGACAAATAAAGATAGATAGAAAAATGCGTCTACCAAATTAATTTCAAAACCAAAAAATGAAATATAGATAGTCTCTATTTTCCGTAATGAATTGGAGAAATTAGTTTTACTAGTTTTCCAAATTTGAAATACACGGATGTTGCAGTGTTGATGCAATGAATTTGCATACTTACGCCTAGTGGTGAATCCAATCAGCTGGCCCTGATGTCAGTTTCAGTGCAGGCCAGTCAAGGACCCAACAATCCCTATCTGGTCAGGTCAACCACCTGACGGTCCAGTCCGGTCAATGACTCGACGATTTCTTTCCGGTCCGGTAAACAACCAGACGGTCCTCGTCTTGTTTAGTCAATGACTCGGCTGTCTTAGTCTGGTCCAGTCGACAATTGGGTCGTCCGGTCCGATTCTGTCTGGTCTGTTCGATGATCCGATGGTTCGGTCCCTCTTTTTAAAATCATTTTTTTAAACTGAAGAGTTTCAAAAGTGTCGTTGAATTGCTAACCAATAGGGAAAAGGGAAAAAAATTAGTCAAACTAAGCGTTAGGACAGATCGTGACTGGCCGGTTCCAGTTCCGATTTTCATATACCCGGCCGGGACTAGGTACCTTACTTGGGTTGTACTAGGTTCTGTGATCAATAACAGAACGAGGTGAAAAAATTTAATGAACATGTTTTCAGATTTGAATATGAAAAACTAGAAAACGAAAATAGAAAATTGAAATAAAAATTGGAAAATGAGAGTAATTGGTTGAGATAGAAAAGAAAGAAAACTAGAAAGTATATGTGTGAGTAAATACACCCTTAATTTGTCATCCGCATTTTATACACTAAACAGAGTAATTGGTTGAGAGAATTCTTTAAGAATATACATATTCGAATATTCATAGTTGGTTGTTTCTATTTTTTTCTGATTTTTTTTTACTAAAATTGTCTCATATTAAATTTGATAAAAATTTGTGTGGTTCTAAATCATCATTACTTTATTCTTACTTTTCAAATTAACATCAATCATATAATTGTGTCATGTCCTTTTGTCCTGGGACGAAGATAATATTAATTTGTTATCATTAACATTATTATATTGGTTGAAAAAAACATTATTATATGGTGACAACTTCGGTACCCATTTAAAAAATGGGGTACCATACCTATCACTCACTTGATTGGTTTAAATCATTACATCATTTGTAATTTAGATTTAAATAATTCAATTACATCATTTTGATTGGTCCATGTGAACATAGATATGATACCTTAAGGGTACCATAGAATCTACCTTATTATATATATATATATAGTATATATGATCATCATGGCATCTCAAATCTCAATTAATTAAACAAATTTGTGAAACACACGCACAAACCCCGTCGTGTCCGTCCACCCGGTCCATTTGCAGATGCAGGAACGGTCACTTCCACGTGATAAACAACGACTACACTAAGTGGCTCATGTTTGCCATTGGCGGAACTGCTAGCCCAACCATCACCAGCCATGGAAACAGGTTTACTCCTCTGGACGAAAAACATAGAGAGGTACTTTATTTTTACATCTTTCCATTCACATATAAATACCTCAATGTTACTAAAACTCACGACTTTTCCTAAAATATAACTATACATGTTTTTGTATGTAATATATGACCAAACACATACATGGGGTGGTTACCATACTTAACTAAGTCCTTATTGATAGTGTTGTTACCACTCATGAGCATGACATTAATTAGGATGTTAGATTAGGAATAAAACTAGTGTAGTCATATATTGGGAAAGATATATTGTTTTAGTAATATTAGTGATAATTATCTCTTTACATATTCATACTTTTTCGTCCCAAAATGAGTTTAAAAAATTGATTTGTGGATACTAAAAATTATTTAATGTTTTGGACTTATTATTAGTTCATAATATTATCAAGCCTCTTTTATGCGAATTTTAAATTCGATCGAGCCTCCTCTCATGAGGGTTGTTGTACCGTATCAAAAGGAAAATTGTGATAAAGAATCCGGCCTTATGATGATAAAATTTAGTGGTCAAGTTAATTTGAATCATTGAAAGTATTCAATTAATATAATTGTAAATGGAGACCATAGGTTGGCCTTATAAAATTCTCTATCTCAAGCCTAGAGTCACGCCTAATACTAAACAGCGACCCAACATATGAGACATGATTAAACTTATGAAGAGGACACTGAATCTATTCAAACATATACATTAAAGATCTAAAAATGCAAGAAGGTCTTTAATCCTTTATGCATATATCATCTTTCTATACACACATAGGGGTCTCATTTGGGTGTGAATGGGAAACTCAAGATATCATGTTTCCCATTATGTGGATACTCACAACCATGCAGTTACAAGTAGAGATCACCTTGTCACAGTTCGTCTGCTCCCTAAAAGAAAATGCATTGTTCTGGTCTTGGAGCCAATTTTCATTTACATTTGGCAAGATATGAACTATGAAGTGTGAGTTCCTAAAATGATTCATTTCCATAGGGAAGATAGTGAGCCTGAGATAGCATACATATAATGTTGGAGAGATCTCACCCTAAGTTGAAAACATCGAATCTCTATAAGCTCTGCCATAAATATGCATGCGTATTGAGAGAGTGCATTTGGGAATTAATGTTGGAGAGAACTCATGCCAAATATCTCGTCTAAAAATGTTTTTGGCCTGGATTTGACATATCCGGCCATGTGAAATCCTCTATGAGTCCTGCCAATAATCATGTCAAATTTTTTTTGTAGTGGTTTAGGATCGGTGGAAGAGCGAAAATTTGGTCCCGCCGTAGACCGGAATCAGCACCCCCAGTTAGCGTTATTCGGTCTCAACAACTAGCTAGTTTGACCTTTAATTTTTTCTATTTTCCTGTTCGTTGGGCCTCCCCAACGAATATTTGGAGCTAATCCATCCCCAAAAGATGTTTCGAGCGTTTGGTTGTGGGGGTGGGGTGTGATAGGGGTGGGATGCCATGTGAAAAAAACTATAAATACCAATCATTCTTCTCAATTTTGATATTCTTTATTCCACACTACTCTTCTTATCTTCGTCTATATTATTTTTATCTCCAATTCTCTCATCTTTTTTTTTGAAAGAATGATATTTATTAATGATAATGGAAGTGATAACAGACAAAGCAAACCAATAGCTCAGAGTTATCCTGGGGTGAGACATAGAACTGACTAGCCCCTGAGAACCCGTCAAGATCGCTAACCCTGCATCATGGTAGGCTAATCTAACAGCATCGATGTACTTGGTACTAAAATAAATGGATATAAAACTAGAGTTATTAAATAAAAAAAAATAGAATCAAATCTTCTGGTATTTCCAACCACCAGCAAGGGAGAAGGGGTTTGATCAGCCACCTCCAAAGAAGTCATTCGAATTTTACGTTATTTGTATTGCATATAAAAGTTCAAAGTGATGCATATTATTGAGTTTTTAGGTTAGTAAATAAATTAAGCATGATTTGTACGTGATCTCACCTATATATATATATATATATATATATATATATATATATATATATATATATATATATATATATATATATATATATATATATATAGGGGAGGGTTCTAGTGAGAACCCCTTTTAAAATGAGAACCCAAAGTTGAGGTGGTTCCCGGTGGTATTTTTGGCTAATTTTTTTTGTGTATGTTCCTCATCAAGTCTAGTTCATCCATACAAAAAATCAGGAAAAAATCAACCGGGAAGGTCTGGTAAATGTTTTTGAAATCAGTCCAATTTTTGTTTGAAAGTTGACCCTTAAACCTCAGTTTTTCACGTATGACACTCATCTATCCGTTAACATTAATTTATCATAAAAATAATATTTCAGCGCATAAATTTTTAAAGTTATCCAAGATCAAGCTATTTGAAATAATAATTTATCGTAATTTATATTTTGAATAGGTGACATATGTGCCGGATGAGAGAGATAATAATGAGTGTACCGGAGAGTGGCACTCAGGTGGTGACTTATTTGTTGGTGGTGCACTTTTTACGCCATGTGGAACCCATGTCTCCGACCCGACTTTTGCCAAAGCTTCTAGTACGATTCTCAAGTCGGTTAAGGTCATTGACTCTCTGACGGAAAATGCGGGTGCTATGTTTTGACTAACCTAGCTTTATACGTACGTACTACTATACTATACTATACGGAGTATATAGTACGTATATACCTTCTCCGCTCCGCTTTGATTTCCACGTGTTTTTAATATTAATTAACAAAGGAAAAAAGTAGGCACACATGTGACATGTGGCCTCTTATATTATCATGGTACGCCCGCACTTATTGTTTGTCTAAGCATTATCATTATCATACTCCATATTTAAATATGTATCATGATATACATATGTATGTGCACTCTCCAATGTAATTCTCAATTTTATATGTATGAGTTTATTATAAGCGACAGAGCCAATCTCATATATTTTTCAGTATCATCATAATTAACTTTTGTTCAATTTAAACACTTTTATGTTACATATTTTTACCTCGATTTTTAGATCATATTTTTCAGTAAAGCGTATTGGGGTCTCATGATAGCACGTACACTCGATTACTAACAATGTTTTTACGAAGTTTTCTGGTCTGCCTGGTCTGGTCTGGTAAATGTGTGGTTTAGGTGTATTTTATAACTATCCAAGTCCGGTCTGATCTGTTTGATTTGGTCTGAGACTGAAAACTGTCCAAGTAAAAACATCCTAGGTCATGGATCCAAGCATTGATTTGGATCGGAGTTTACGAAAGTGAGAATAAAGTAGAAATGTACGGTTGTGGTTCAGTAAGAAAAAGATAAATGAATGTGAGTCACACAAAACTTTCCTAAAAGGGAAATGAGAACTATTTTGTGGAAACATACCACTAACTTAACCTACATACTAACACACAACAGTATGATACCTAGCACGTTTGGGGCTTGTTGTTTCCTCCGGTGGTGAGCGATTGGGTATAGCGATGAGTGTGGTGAGATGAGATGGAATTGTGTAGAGGTTTAGGTTCAAGTGCTTCTTGATCTTGTTCATGATAAACATTCGACCATTATTTTCCTAATGGAGACCAAATCAGGGATGGGACGGGCAGAAGGTGTCATGGCAGAATTAGGTTTTCAAATAAGACTTTGTTTTGGAAAGACAACATCGAGCCTACGCTAGCTATTGGAAGTTTCGACCTTTTTTATTGTGTAATTGGAAATGACATGAGTGCCAATGAGGATTAGAACCGTGTTCTAATACAAGCTAGGAGGTGTGGAGTGCACACTTGTATATAAGAACGTGTTCTATTTCAAAGTGTCTACGTCAGTGGAACTCGAGGTAGAACACTCAGTAGACCAACTCTGTAGTTCTAGACCGATGTCTAGAGCGGTTGGGCAGTTTCGTGCAATTTTCCAAAAATTGTCACAGTTATTCCAGGACGTGTAATATGGTTATATATCACCATATTTCGTACAGAGAAGGATGAAAAAAGATATCCAACATTTCTTCATCATTTTTGGCATTCAACTTAAGATATCAATCCATATACTCACTAGTTTGGCTCAAGTTCTTGTGCCTAAGTTCTAGAGTGTCCTTAAGGATTATCCTATATTGAATTTCTTGTAACCCAGGCATAGGGGAGAAATATCAATTCGGAAAGTGAAGTTACACGATCCTTAAACAATCCAAGTACTGGATTATCACCCCCTACGTGATATACCCCTACAATCGAATTGGTATTTTCTTTGTGATAATCATGAGTACCGTGGAAGAGATGACATCCAAGTTCAACAAATTGGACAAATTGAACGTATATTCTGGAAATGCTTAAGAGATTCAACATTGATGGCAAATCTTCCATGACGACCCCTATGTCCCCCAACAATAAACTGGACTCAGACCCCTCCGGGAAGCCAGTCGATGCCACAAACTATAGGGCCATCATTGGATCTTTGCTATATCTCACGTCTAGCAGGCCTGATATCGTCTTCTCCACATGCTTATGTGCACGCTTTCAGGCGAATCCAAAGGAATCCCATCTGACCGTTGTTCGAAGAATTCTGAGATACCTCAAAGGCACTGTGAATCTAGGCCTTTGGTATCCCAAGCACTCAGGTTTTGACCTAGTCGGATACTCTGACGCTGATTTTGCTGGTTGCCGGATGGATCGCAAAAGTACATCGGGAGCTGTCCAGTTCTTGGGCGATAAGTTAGTCTGCTGGTCTTCCAAGAAACAGAACTGTGTGTCAACATCTACGGCCGAGGCAGAATACGTCGCGGCTGCTAGCTGTTGTTCACAAATATTATGGATGAAGACCCAGCTAAAGGACTACGGTTACACTTCCGCCATATCCCGATCTACAGCGACTCACAGAGCGCCATCACCATCACCAGCAACCCGGTTCATCACTCCCGCACCAAACACATCGACATGCGTTATCATTTCATCAAAGACCACGTGGAGAAAAGAGATATTGACATGTACTTTGTAAGCTCCGAGCTTCAACTGGCTGATTTGTTTACTAAGGCACTGGATGAAAAGAGATTCCAGTTTTTGGTTTCCAAATTAGGCATGTTGAACCTCGAGCCTATGTAATTTTGTTTCCACTGGTCTGTAAAAAGGTGTGCGTGTGTAGGACTTGTACAAAGTGTGCGTGCGTGTGTCTGTAAATAGTGTGTGTGAGTTGCATTTTGTGTATTGTGTGTGTTGCATGTGTAAATAATAATATTTTGACTTTCACGTTTGCCAACGCGCAACTTTGACTGTAATTATATTTATTTACGTATTAGTAAACATTAAAAAAAGTTAATATATTGGAAATTTACATTAATACAAATTTATTAATATTTTATACATAATATTTTTATTATATATATTATTAGAAAATCGTAGTCAAAGTAAGGTGTGTGAATAGTGCAGAAATTACAATGTTGCAACTTTTATGGAACGGAGGAAGTATATATTTATTGGAAATTATTTATAATATAAAAATTATATGAAAATGTTCTTTGTTAAAAGTACTTTCATAAAAGTATAAAATTTATAACTTTCATAATATTATACTAATCAAAACCATGGTCCAAATTTTGAGATTTGGCTAAACATTTTGGGACAGAGGTAGTATTAGGAAATAGGAATAAATGATTTTATATCCATGTTGTTTGAATAATTTTATTTATTATTGTTAGAGATCACTATTGATTTAATTATATCTATATCGTTCAAATTATTTTAGGAGAATGTGTTGTTTTTTAATACGTTGCATGTTGAACTGCTTAAATATACTAATAATAATAATTGTTCAATATTGAGTATGACATCAATAGATTATTAATTATATTTGTAAACTTTTAATAATGAAATAAATATGTCACTAGTAACACCAATTTAACATATTTCGTTAGTCTATGATAATTTGTTGTATTGAGAGACATGCATGGTAATTTACCGATACCGTACCGTTACCGAACCGAAACTTCAGTATACCGAAATGCGGTATACCGAAACTTCGGTAAGGTAACGGTATATAAATTTTGCATACCGAAAATTTTGATACGGTAAAAGTATGAGAGAAAATATTGGGTATACGGTATCGAACCACCCTAGAAATAAGTCATGTTCGTTTGTCAATAAACAATTTATTTAATTTGTACCTGGTATGGGAACATGCATGTATGTAGGTCATGATGTTGGGTGCCCATGACCTCGACAATATGGACAGGAGTATGCAAGTGACAATTGCCTTCAACCATTTCGGTGAGGGTCTCCAACAGAGAATGCCCAGGTATATATAGATATATTTTTCAATTTTCAATAAAATAGGAAAACTAAAAAAATGAAAACACAAATGGGTTTTACCAAAACAATTTCTAGGAAAACTGGACAAATAAAGATAGATAGAAAAATGCGTCTACCAAATTAATTTCAAAACCAAAAAATGAAATATAGATAGTCTCTATTTTCCGTAATGAATTGGAGAAATTAGTTTTACTAGTTTTCCAAATTTGAAATACACGGATGTTGCAGTGTTGATGCAATGAATTTGCATACTTACGCCTAGTGGTGAATCCAATCAGCTGGCCCTGATGTCAGTTTCAGTGCAGGCCAGTCAAGGACCCAACAATCCCTATCTGGTCAGGTCAACCACCTGACGGTCCAGTCCGGTCAATGACTCGACGATTTCTTTCCGGTCCGGTAAACAACCAGACGGTCCTCGTCTTGTTTAGTCAATGACTCGGCTGTCTTAGTCTGGTCCAGTCGACAATTGGGTCGTCCGGTCCGATTCTGTCTGGTCTGTTCGATGATCCGATGGTTCGGTCCCTCTTTTTAAAATCATTTTTTTAAACTGAAGAGTTTCAAAAGTGTCGTTGAATTGCTAACCAATAGGGAAAAGGGAAAAAAATTAGTCAAACTAAGCGTTAGGACAGATCGTGACTGGCCGGTTCCAGTTCCGATTTTCATATACCCGGCCGGGACTAGGTACCTTACTTGGGTTGTACTAGGTTCTGTGATCAATAACAGAACGAGGTGAAAAAATTTAATGAACATGTTTTCAGATTTGAATATGAAAAACTAGAAAACGAAAATAGAAAATTGAAATAAAAATTGGAAAATGAGAGTAATTGGTTGAGATAGAAAAGAAAGAAAACTAGAAAGTATATGTGTGAGTAAATACACCCTTAATTTGTCATCCGCATTTTATACACTAAACAGAGTAATTGGTTGAGAGAATTCTTTAAGAATATACATATTCGAATATTCATAGTTGGTTGTTTCTATTTTTTTCTGATTTTTTTTTACTAAAATTGTCTCATATTAAATTTGATAAAAATTTGTGTGGTTCTAAATCATCATTACTTTATTCTTACTTTTCAAATTAACATCAATCATATAATTGTGTCATGTCCTTTTGTCCTGGGACGAAGATAATATTAATTTGTTATCATTAACATTATTATATTGGTTGAAAAAAACATTATTATATGGTGACAACTTCGGTACCCATTTAAAAAATGGGGTACCATACCTATCACTCACTTGATTGGTTTAAATCATTACATCATTTGTAATTTAGATTTAAATAATTCAATTACATCATTTTGATTGGTCCATGTGAACATAGATATGATACCTTAAGGGTACCATAGAATCTACCTTATTATATATATATATATAGTATATATGATCATCATGGCATCTCAAATCTCAATTAATTAAACAAATTTGTGAAACACACGCACAAACCCCGTCGTGTCCGTCCACCCGGTCCATTTGCAGATGCAGGAACGGTCACTTCCACGTGATAAACAACGACTACACTAAGTGGCTCATGTTTGCCATTGGCGGAACTGCTAGCCCAACCATCACCAGCCATGGAAACAGGTTTACTCCTCTGGACGAAAAACATAGAGAGGTACTTTATTTTTACATCTTTCCATTCACATATAAATACCTCAATGTTACTAAAACTCACGACTTTTCCTAAAATATAACTATACATGTTTTTGTATGTAATATATGACCAAACACATACATGGGGTGGTTACCATACTTAACTAAGTCCTTATTGATAGTGTTGTTACCACTCATGAGCATGACATTAATTAGGATGTTAGATTAGGAATAAAACTAGTGTAGTCATATATTGGGAAAGATATATTGTTTTAGTAATATTAGTGATAATTATCTCTTTACATATTCATACTTTTTCGTCCCAAAATGAGTTTAAAAAATTGATTTGTGGATACTAAAAATTATTTAATGTTTTGGACTTATTATTAGTTCATAATATTATCAAGCCTCTTTTATGCGAATTTTAAATTCGATCGAGCCTCCTCTCATGAGGGTTGTTGTACCGTATCAAAAGGAAAATTGTGATAAAGAATCCGGCCTTATGATGATAAAATTTAGTGGTCAAGTTAATTTGAATCATTGAAAGTATTCAATTAATATAATTGTAAATGGAGACCATAGGTTGGCCTTATAAAATTCTCTATCTCAAGCCTAGAGTCACGCCTAATACTAAACAGCGACCCAACATATGAGACATGATTAAACTTATGAAGAGGACACTGAATCTATTCAAACATATACATTAAAGATCTAAAAATGCAAGAAGGTCTTTAATCCTTTATGCATATATCATCTTTCTATACACACATAGGGGTCTCATTTGGGTGTGAATGGGAAACTCAAGATATCATGTTTCCCATTATGTGGATACTCACAACCATGCAGTTACAAGTAGAGATCACCTTGTCACAGTTCGTCTGCTCCCTAAAAGAAAATGCATTGTTCTGGTCTTGGAGCCAATTTTCATTTACATTTGGCAAGATATGAACTATGAAGTGTGAGTTCCTAAAATGATTCATTTCCATAGGGAAGATAGTGAGCCTGAGATAGCATACATATAATGTTGGAGAGATCTCACCCTAAGTTGAAAACATCGAATCTCTATAAGCTCTGCCATAAATATGCATGCGTATTGAGAGAGTGCATTTGGGAATTAATGTTGGAGAGAACTCATGCCAAATATCTCGTCTAAAAATGTTTTTGGCCTGGATTTGACATATCCGGCCATGTGAAATCCTCTATGAGTCCTGCCAATAATCATGTCAAATTTTTTTTGTAGTGGTTTAGGATCGGTGGAAGAGCGAAAATTTGGTCCCGCCGTAGACCGGAATCAGCACCCCCAGTTAGCGTTATTCGGTCTCAACAACTAGCTAGTTTGACCTTTAATTTTTTCTATTTTCCTGTTCGTTGGGCCTCCCCAACGAATATTTGGAGCTAATCCATCCCCAAAAGATGTTTCGAGCGTTTGGTTGTGGGGGTGGGGTGTGATAGGGGTGGGATGCCATGTGAAAAAAACTATAAATACCAATCATTCTTCTCAATTTTGATATTCTTTATTCCACACTACTCTTCTTATCTTCGTCTATATTATTTTTATCTCCAATTCTCTCATCTTTTTTTTTGAAAGAATGATATTTATTAATGATAATGGAAGTGATAACAGACAAAGCAAACCAATAGCTCAGAGTTATCCTGGGGTGAGACATAGAACTGACTAGCCCCTGAGAACCCGTCAAGATCGCTAACCCTGCATCATGGTAGGCTAATCTAACAGCATCGATGTACTTGGTACTAAAATAAATGGATATAAAACTAGAGTTATTAAATAAAAAAAAATAGAATCAAATCTTCTGGTATTTCCAACCACCAGCAAGGGAGAAGGGGTTTGATCAGCCACCTCCAAAGAAGTCATTCGAATTTTACGTTATTTGTATTGCATATAAAAGTTCAAAGTGATGCATATTATTGAGTTTTTAGGTTAGTAAATAAATTAAGCATGATTTGTACGTGATCTCACCTATATATATATATATATATATATATATATATATATATATATATATATATATATATATATATATATATATATATATATATATATATATATATATATATATATATATATATATATATATATATATATATATATATATATATATATATATATATATATATAGGGGAGGGTTCTAGTGAGAACCCCTTTTAAAATGAGAACCCAAAGTTGAGGTGGTTCCCGGTGGTATTTTTGGCTAATTTTTTTTGTGTATGTTCCTCATCAAGTCTAGTTCATCCATACAAAAAATCAGGAAAAAATCAACCGGGAAGGTCTGGTAAATGTTTTTGAAATCAGTCCAATTTTTGTTTGAAAGTTGACCCTTAAACCTCAGTTTTTCACGTATGACACTCATCTATCCGTTAACATTAATTTATCATAAAAATAATATTTCAGCGCATAAATTTTTAAAGTTATCCAAGATCAAGCTATTTGAAATAATAATTTATCGTAATTTATATTTTGAATAGGTGACATATGTGCCGGATGAGAGAGATAATAATGAGTGTACCGGAGAGTGGCACTCAGGTGGTGACTTATTTGTTGGTGGTGCACTTTTTACGCCATGTGGAACCCATGTCTCCGACCCGACTTTTGCCAAAGCTTCTAGTACGATTCTCAAGTCGGTTAAGGTCATTGACTCTCTGACGGAAAATGCGGGTGCTATGTTTTGACTAACCTAGCTTTATACGTACGTACTACTATACTATACTATACGGAGTATATAGTACGTATATACCTTCTCCGCTCCGCTTTGATTTCCACGTGTTTTTAATATTAATTAACAAAGGAAAAAAGTAGGCACACATGTGACATGTGGCCTCTTATATTATCATGGTACGCCCGCACTTATTGTTTGTCTAAGCATTATCATTATCATACTCCATATTTAAATATGTATCATGATATACATATGTATGTGCACTCTCCAATGTAATTCTCAATTTTATATGTATGAGTTTATTATAAGCGACAGAGCCAATCTCATATATTTTTCAGTATCATCATAATTAACTTTTGTTCAATTTAAACACTTTTATGTTACATATTTTTACCTCGATTTTTAGATCATATTTTTCAGTAAAGCGTATTGGGGTCTCATGATAGCACGTACACTCGATTACTAACAATGTTTTTACGAAGTTTTCTGGTCTGCCTGGTCTGGTCTGGTAAATGTGTGGTTTAGGTGTATTTTATAACTATCCAAGTCCGGTCTGATCTGTTTGATTTGGTCTGAGACTGAAAACTGTCCAAGTAAAAACATCCTAGGTCATGGATCCAAGCATTGATTTGGATCGGAGTTTACGAAAGTGAGAATAAAGTAGAAATGTACGGTTGTGGTTCAGTAAGAAAAAGATAAATGAATGTGAGTCACACAA